CCTTTGTCTCTCCCCACCCGGCCTGTGTGCCTGCAGATCTGGGCTCGTGGAGGGTCCGGAGCCATGACGTGAGCTCCTCTGGGACCTCCATGCCTCAGTTTCCCGATCTGGGACTCAGGCTACTGGAGGATTAAGGGAAGTGATTCCACGCACACGCGTGGCAGACAGTAAGCTGTGGGTGGATGTCAACCTTCAGGCGTGTTTCCGGGACCCTTACAGGAGGGAGCCTGGAGGCTGGCCTCGTGGCCTCAGTTCCCAGGGGCCTGCCTGTCGCCCTGCTCCTCCTCTGCGTCCTCTGCTGGCGATCCCGTTGTCTCTCCCTGCCTCACCTTCCAGCCCAGACCGTGGCTGGACCGCTTCCTTGAGGCACGCAGCGGAAACCCTGCCAGGCCCGGGGCACAGAGACGCATCTGGGGCACGCTTACACGGGTCCGCCTGGGGGCCTAGAGACACAGTGACGAAGCAAACTCGCCGAGCGTCCCTCTGACTTCCAGCCCGGTCTCTGCTTTCTGTCTGTGTCTCAAGCAGATGATTCCTAGTCAGGCCACAGGCCTTAGCAGACGTCACCCGTGGATGCGGCCTCTTTTGGCCGGCAGGCACCGCGGTCCTTCTGTGCCGGGCACCCTGCTCAGTCCTGGGCTCGCACATCCTAGCCTCCCGCCAGCCCAGACGGCCCAGCCGCCCGGGTGAGCCCCTGCCTCCCTGCCGGAGCTGGACCCAGAGCGCAGCCCAGGGAGGGTGGCGGCTGCCGTCCCCCGCGTCCTGGGTGCCTGGTTTCCAGCAGCCTCACCATTTCTGACGCAAACACCGAGGCGGGGATCATTAACACGTTTCACGGGTAGAGCCACATCCCGGTGAGGTGGGGCCTAAGCGGCCAGGAGGTGACCGTCCACTGCCTGAGGCGGCCTGCAGGGCCCTGGCATCCATCCAGGCCCCTCCCCTAGCCAGCACCAGGAGCCGCTCCACCCCGAAGTCGAGGGGCAGCCCGTGCCCACGCCACACAGGCGCCCCTGTGGCCTCGCCGCCCCCACCGGGTCCTGCTGAGCTGCTCCTCACCCGGTGGCCTCAGTGACCCCCGCATTCCCAGCGCTGCCCTGGTCTCCTCCTCTCGTCCTGGAGGCGGCCTTTTCAGGCAGCACCCCCAGCTGGTGACGGGCTGCACAGCAGCAGCCAAGGCCCCACGGTCCCCAGGGGAGCTGGGCAGCGGGCTGGGCTGTCACAGGCCCTTTCCAGCCCGACCCTGGGGCTCTGACCCGCCAGCTCTCACCCACCTGCATCATGCACTCGCCTGACGGATGGACCACAGGTGAGGGCAGCTTCCCTTAGGGGAAGCGAGGCCCCGCTACCTGAGCCTCAGGACCGCACGGCCAAGAGGGCAGACCTGCCAGGGGCACCTCAGAAAGATGGGCAGTTTGTACTAACATTCACGCAGGTTCACTGCCTGCACCGGGGACGCAGGGACAGTGGAGGCCAGTCACGGGCCGAGCACAATGGCGGGGTGGGGGTGGGGTGGGATTCGCCCAGGTCAGCCTCTCGCCGCCGCCCAGTTGGTCCTGCATCCCAGACTGCCCTCGCCCCGGGGTCCCAGTCCGTCCTCACAGATCCCAGCCCTGACAAACGTGTGGGGTCTGCAGGCACGGGCTTTCACAGTGGGGATCAGCCTCACTTCCCCAGTGTGGACATGGGGCACAGAGGGAATCCGTGGGGGCGAGCAGCCTGGCACGTGCTGAGGCTGCGGGCCCCACGGGCACCCTCTTGGCTTGCTCTCGTGTCAGCTCCTGGTGATGGATTTTCTACCTGCTCGGTGTGACCCAAGGCCCACAGAGCCAGCCAACACGCGCGTCGGTGTTGCGAAGAGATCCCCGATGCGGGGCCGCTGAGCGGGGGTGCCTCGCGAGGACAGTGCGGTGTGACTTTTTGCCAGTGAGGACGCTGTCGTCCTAGCCTCTGGAGGGAGGCGAGGCCCACACGCAGGGGTGCCATGGCCGCGTGGCCACATCGCAGGGGCCGCTGGGGCGCGTTTTAATGAGCTCACGGCTGTTCCCGGCTTCAGACAAGCACGTCCCGGATCCCCCGCACTTAGGGGCCTGTTTCCCAGCCCCTAAGTTAGTCAAAGGGATCGACTCACCCAAGTTCTTTCTGTTGAAGGGTCAAGACCCCTGCAAAAATCAGGTAAAGGCTACGGACCTTTCCTCAGAAAATGCACACACACGTATACACTTGTAACACGTGCGCACACGTGCACAGATATGCTTGCACACACATGCACAGACACGCACGCACAGTGCACATGTGCACATGCATGCACACATACACATGACAGAGCACATGTATACACGTGTACAGATACACGTCGCACGCACGCATACGTACACACGCACAGGCACACACCACGTATACACACGTACGCATTTACATCTGCACACGTACGCACACAGCTGCGGTTTTGGGGGCTCCCAACCCCTAGACCCAGGCAGGTGGGACACCTGGTCAAGGAGGCCTGCTGGAAGGCCCCCCCCCCCCCCCCCGCCATGTCGTGCTCCCTGATGCATCGTGTGCCTCTCAGGGGCTGTCTAGGGCATTAAAAAAAATTTGTTTTTAATATTTATTTTTGAGGGAGAGAGAGAGCACGAGTGGGGGAGGCACAGAGAGAGAGGGGGAGACACGGAATCCGAAGCAGGCTCCAGGCTCCGAGCCGTCAGCACAGAGCCCGACGCAGGGCTCGAACTCACGAGCTGCGAGATCACGAACCTGAGTTGAAGTCGGACGCCCAACCGACTGAGCCTCCCAGGTGCCTCTGGAGGCATCTTCTCATCTCTGGGGGAGACGCAGGAGGGTTTGTTGCCCTTTCCTGCAGAGCGCGTGCAGGGCTCGCAGGAGTCAGCGGTGACACTGGCTCCGGATCCAAGGTCTCGGGTCTGGTGCACATCCCTTTCTCCCTCTTGACGTGTGAGAAACCTCTCCCTTCCGGCTCCAGGATTTCCCGCCCCGCGCCCGATTCCCTGCATCGTCCGCCAGGGAGGCTTCGCGAAAGTTTTACTCTGTGCAGCTCGAAACAGAGCTGGACTCGATCACAAGTGTTCTTACTCCCCGAGTATGAAAGAACGGGATGCCGAAACACGTAAAACCGTCCGCAGCCACTTGCCCCCCGGACCCCATGCATCCGGCAGCCCCGCTCAAGCGCCCCGACAGCAGATCGCACGCCCTCCAGAAGGTTTCGGGAGCCCTTCGCTCTGGCGGGGCCTCAGGAGCGAGCTCTGGGGATCACAGGGGCCCAGCGTCTACGGAGCTTGGAATTCAGCATGCGGCCTCCCCTCCGAAGCGTGCGGGACCCCCACTGTCCTGACAATGTACCTGTGAGGCCCACTCGCCTCCCGCTACCGTCCCTGAAGCCGGGAGAACTCACGTGTCCTGGCTCGGCCAACCAGCCGGGCCTGAATGAGCGAAGCAGAGGTGGGGGTCCCGTGAGCAGTGCGGGCACCTGTGGTGTAGACGGGGGCCATTGGGGGAGTCGGCTGCTGCGCTTTACGGTGTTGGCTCTGAGCAGCCTGGGTTCCTCTCTGCCCCCCAGACTAGTCAGCGAAGCCTCCTTTGGTCTCTCAGACCCTAGGAAACTCCCCTTCTGCCTGAGAGCCTGAGCGTGTGCCTACAGGGTCAGGAAGCACCCTGCCGTGTGCGTGCCTGTGCCCTGTGCACACCGCCTGCACCGCGTGCTGTTTGTGTAAGCAGGCACTCACTGCTGCTCCTGCCAGCGGGGGGCAGGACGAGGACAGAGCAGAAGGGGCTCCCGGGGGTGTGAGGAGAGAGCCCAGTGCTAGGAGCCCCGTCTGACTCCCCGGAACCTGGGCCCAGCGTCCCAACCTGTGCAGCAAGACGTGTCCGCTGAGCATGGGGCATCCCTGAGTGGGGCCTGGGGTCCTTCCGACTCCCACACCCCCTTCCTCGCTGGCACAGAGGACGTAGGATTCTGGCCTCCCCGAGACCCCAGTCTGAGCAGGAGCACAGCGGGTGGCCTCCTCCGCAGCCCCTGGCCCCTGGCCTTCCCGACACTGCCCACTGCAGGGCTTTGCTTTCTGCCTTCAGCAGCTGATTTACGTGAAAAAGGGATTTTATTTCTGGAACCGCCTCTTCCTTCACCCTCAGCCCCCGTGAGCCCCCGGACAGCTCCGGGCGGACCGCAGCCCCTCGGCTGGTAACCGAATGGGCACGTGCTTCACTGCCGCAGCTCAGAGGGGCCGTTCCTGTCCTCGCCGAAGGCTGCACGGCCCGGGGTCCCCGGGGTGCCTTTTCACTCCGCGGGTAATCTAGTATGTCCGTAATGAGTGCCGTCAATTCACTCTTAGAGCCTCGTAAAATTCGGCCTTCTCGCCATCGGTGCACAGCGCGGCAGGGTCTGCGGGGACAGGGCCCCTCCTGGGCCGGGCGGCCCCACCTGCCCAGCCTCCCCCACGTGCTGATGGGGGGGCGTGGACGCCAGGGGGCGGGCCGGTCCACCACTCAGGGCCTAAAGAAAGATGGGTAGCTTCTGAGCCTCAGTTTCCTTGTCTGCGAAGTGGGAGGGTTCATGCTGCTTGGACAGAACAAGGCCGCTGGGGGCACAGGAACCACACAGAAAGTATCTGCTGCTGCTGTGCTCACAGGGTGACGAGAGCGGCCCCAGGAAGAGCTCCCGGCTTAGGCTCTGGGGGCAGAGGGGTGGACAGGATGACCCCCCTCCCCGGGGCTCCCTCCCCCAGGGACCCTGTTCTGGCTCATCCGAGCCCCGTGAGCCC